TGACACTTTAATAAGCTACAACACCCAGAGCATTCTGATAAACAGAGTTTAGCTTCTCTCCCTCAGCCCTGGCTCTTCATTGTGGGCTGTGCAGTTGATCCATGCCTTGGAAACGTAAGCCAGATTCTAAAATTCAGCCTACAGCATTTGGGTTCTCTTTAGTAATCACAATTACCAGCAGTGTAGTGTGGTCAGGTTAACTGTTATTGCATAGCTTTACTGCGCAATCACTGCAGGAGACTCTTAACAGGCTGTGCTGTTATTTGTTTTACCAATGATGTAATTGTGTCTGAGGGGACATATTTGGACTTCCAAATGGAAACATTTAAAAATAAAGCATCTGAATTGGCTGAGTTTCTGTAATAAGAAATAGAGCTGCCCTAAAACACATTAAGTCAGGTATTACAGATTTTAGTAAGGCTTGATGATGAATATGAGGAGGAAATCGCAGACAGTAAGAAAGGGTAGAAAGAGACAGACAGAGAAAAATAGTCAGTGAAAATCTAGGATATGATTAAGAAGGCTTTACTGAACAATATGCAAGATGGTGTACTTACCAAACACATCATATTTCCCTGTTAATTAATTGCGATAAAATTCTGTTAATAATAATAATCCAACACCTGGCTCATAAAAATCTAGATTTTAAATGTGGCTGTGGCCAACAGTTCATGTATTTCCAAAGAATCGTGCTTCACTTGTACAGCAAAATTACAGTTACTGCCAGTGCTAGTAATGTATGAATGTACTAGTGCTGATGTCAATAATGTGGTAATCAATTAATCTGCAGATGATTTTCTATATAAAAAAAATTTTACAAATGCCTAACAGAATGCCTAATAGACCTCAAGCTGACACATTAAAAGACTATCCATCTAATTTTACAGCACACTAGAAAAGCTGAAGCTGGAACCAGTCAATTTTTGGCTTATAAAATAGCAAGTACATTTTTATGGAAATAGTTGTAGATCAATTTCTAATAACTGCTCTAGTTACTGTAGTATTTCAACCACCAGTTTGAGGAAAAATGGCCTTAATACCACTGGAAACATAAGCCCTTTAAAATGTTGTGTTATATAAGTATCTTCTCTAGAAATGTTAAAATGGATCATTGTTCAATGTTCACTGTTTATGCAACAATTTTGCACAAAAATATCTTCCAGGTCTCAGTTAAGGACTGTTGAAAAAAACATTGGGAGTCATTTGTAAGGAGGAGCTGACTGAATTGAAAGTGACATCTTGTGTGGCGATGTGTCTGATGTGGCAAATGTACCAAGTCTTCAGGCATGCATGCTGCCTGAATGGAAAAGTGTTGAGTCAGTGACTTGGTTACACAACAAAACAGTTGCTTCAGACAACTGAAGCAAGACAGCTATGCAATACAACTAAGAAAATATTCATACAATGCATGTTTTCAAATTAGCTGAATGTAAATGACAAGTGGAACATCCTCAGAGTGCAATATATCTAATCAAGATTTGTTAACACATCATACAACTGAAAATCATTCAACAATATTCTCCTTTTAGAATGCCTGTTTGCCTGGAGAAATAAGCCTTTTTAAGGATATAGTTACTGCATTTCATTACACTTAAGGCTGAAATACTGTAGTACATTTTGCCACCAAACTGTATCATTTTAGGTGAGCTATTCTAATCATCTACAGGCAGTTAACAAGTAAATTGGTATTGTGAAAACCAGTGAAGAGACAGTCTATAATCTCAGGCCCTTGCACCTTACTGTGAGTACGGAGTCCACACACCACTTGTACTAACCTATTAGAAAGAGGATCAGACAAGCCACTCACTGCAGCCCACCATCAAACACACACACACACACAAAACTTCAATGTAGTGCTAATTTCCCACATTCCATTGCTCAATTGCCAGTAATTGAGGTGGAGAGGGAGAAGGGAGAGAGAGAGAAATCTGGAGAACAAAGTACCTTGCCCAATTAGAAACTTGTCATAGTATCAGTAGTGGTGTATAAACCTCTGGTAACCCTGAGAATACTGTCAGTGTGGCAAATATTATCCTCAGCAAGACCATGGTGCAGAACAGTTACCCCAAACCCCAGCAAATACTGGGAGAAAACGTCTAAGTAAATAAAAAGATAAAGCACATATTTGGCATCAGGTGGCTATGTAACTGTCAGAGTAAGAGAAATGTGGTTAATATATGTTGGGCAAATACACTTACAAAATGGATGCTTGTAATATGTGCCTGGAAAGGCCTTTGGGAATCTGGAGTAGGGAGATATATACATCTAGCAATATAACCTTGGGGGCTTGAAATGGGATCTCCTGAAATCTAATGTTGACCTTCACCAACATATTAAGTCTAAGCTTTGACATTTGTTCAGAAAGCCAGTGGAAGCTTTTTATAGGTCAGTCCAAGGTGTTCACTCAGTGAGCTAATGTGAGTTCCCAGGTGTCAGAAAACAGATGCCTGTTGAGTCTGAATATGGTGTTACAAGCTGAAAGACACTATAAAGTTAGCAAGAGCTACAGATGGAGATGATTATGATTAGAGCCCAATCGATGAGTTCCAATAATGATATGTGGGCCAATCAGCCAAATACCAAAAATTACAAAAAACATTATATTACTGTGGGTGGTTGGTACAAGATACATATCTGAGACAGACATTTTCCATCCATCCATCCATCCATTATCTATACCGTTTATTCCTGAATAGCGTCGCAGGGGGCTGGAGCCAATACCATCTGACATTGGGCAAGAGGCGGGGTGCACTCTGGACAGGTCACCAGTCTATCACAGGGCTGACATGTAGACAACCACACACACTCAGTCCTACGGGAAATTTAAAGTCGACAATCAGCCTAAGCTGCATGTCTTTGGACTGTGGGAGGAAGCCAGAATACCTGGAGAGAAGCCATGCAGGCACATATAGAACATGCAAACTTCGCACAGAAAGGCCCTGGGCCAGCCTGGGCTCAAACCCGGAGAGATGGACATTTTACAGTTGAAAAGTCAACTTGCCATTCAAAGGTTTTATGGCTGTGTTCTGCATCATCATTAAAAGTTGGGAGTATTTTGAATTATTCCAAATGAGAAGCTGTTGAGAAATGACAGAGTCATTGCATCACCATTACAAACTGATATGTCTTTATTCCTTGTTAGTCACAG